TCGATAATACAAAGTTCTTCTAAATTTTTCCAATTTTCTGAAATTCGTTGCTGATGCGCCATACTTGACCCTTTTTGTCGAGGCGAATTCTATTAAGCTAACCCGAATCCATCTTTTGCTGACAATAAATCATGTCTCTAGGGACTCGTAACAGCTGATTGACACTCTTTCCTCTCGTCACAATCTTAAACCAATGCGAGATGCTAGGACAATCTGTGCAGGCAAACCAACCAGTTGACTAATCTCTTTAATGGAGTTAATGACCTGATGAGAACTCATTTTTTATTTTATAACCCTCAGAGTAAATTTGCTTATACTCTAAATGTTGTTTATACCTACTCTACTTATACTGGTTTGTGACAATCTAACTTGTTTTCTTAATGAAATAAGTGGAAGGTTAATAGTGTAAGAGTGATTGGGAGTTGATGGGTCACGGCATGTGTTGGACAAATCACACTCGCCAGCCTTTGTTGTCCTCGCACTATTCCGAGCCAGATGGCTCTGACGCCACAAAAACAATGCCAGATTTGCATCCAATGGACTAGCCACAAAAGATCCCACAGGCCAAACAACAGTAAGACTCCGAGGACGAAATTACCTGCAGTATCTGGCCGTTCTGAGTACCGGCGAGAACGATTCGAGGTGAAACGATACCACTAAGCGCTGTGATCTTCTGATCGACTTCGGCAATCGCTACCTCAACAGCTTCGATCGAGCCACCAACACCCAACTCACAGGTGTCCTCATCCAGCGGAATGCGGGACTTCTGCAAATGTTCGATTGCCTGACTTCCCGATATGGTGTTTAACGCTTTCGTGGAATTAAAAGGACATACATTTATGCACTTAGCGTCCCTGCCGACATGTGGGAGCCCGATTGAATCGGCTCCACCACGACAGCGGTCAATGTTGTACCAAAAGGTCAACTTTAGTCGTTGCAGGGAAAAAGCGCAGATTGCAGATCGTGTTTCAGATGGTGAAGGTGAGAAGGCGCCGATAAGAGAATCGCCTGAAATGTACATACGTCCCTCCTGCCTTGCGGAATTAAATGCATGGTGCCTGCAACTGAAAGGTCACCAAAACGAGTTATTAATACAACACGCAACCATGAAAACTAATGCACTAACAAG